GGGAGGGGAGGGGAGGTGTGGGTAACAAGGGGCTGGAGCATGAAAGGAAAGGCAGGATTTGTGGAATGGAAGGGACTGCATGGCGTGGTGATCTATTTACATGACCTCAGGTCACACTGCCTGGACCGGTCAGAGACCATCTGGCCCTACTCCTGGGCTCTCCGTCCTTGTCTTTTGCCTCTGCCTGGCCCTCTGCACAGCTGTCTTCTTGTCTCAGAGAAGGGAGAGCTGTTCTTTCTCTCTAGTCCCTCCTGCCTCTGGTTCTGCCCATTCCTACCTCGAAGCTGCAATAACACAAGGTTTCTCTGTGAAGATCCCCACTGGGCTCCAAGATCAGACCACAGTGGTGGAAACTTGGCCTCGTGTGAAGTCCACCCCTTAAAAGGAGAGGAGTCCGGAGGAAAGTAGCAATGACGGCGAGTCCTCTGAAAATCAGAGTTTATGAGAAAGGGTGCCAAGGGGGGGCGGAGGGTAGAGATGCCCTGTTCCTTCACAGCTCCTCACTGTTTCTTATTGTAGATTTATGTGTTCATTTGCACATTTAATACACCTGCCTCACCAATCTGTAAACCCCGTGAGGGCAAAGCGCTGGTCTGTTTTGTTCAACACTGTCTGCACAGCACCTAGGCCAGTGATTGACACACAGAAACTCTTCAATAACCACCTGTTGAATAAACGATAAAAAAAAAAAAAAAGAAAGAGAAAGAAAGCAAGAAAGAGGAGGAAAAAGAGAAAGAAGAGGAGACAAAGGAAATTATCCAGGGTATATGGGATAGCTGACCTCATATATTTGAAGGGCCCTCATGTTGGAGAACAGACAATACTTGGAGGCAGAATGACAACCACAAGCAGGAGCAGGAAGACCGAGAGATAACCGGTGCACACTTCAACAAAGTGGGACTCGGATACTCGATCCTTCTCTTACTAGCTCTGTGACCACGACTGGTTACTTGACGTCTCTGCGCCTCAACGCATCTGGAAATGGGAGTAATACTAAAATCAACCTTGCCATCTTAGAGTAAATGGAGTAATCTGTGTAAAACTGTTCAGTCGTGGTTGTTACTAGTATTAAGTTACAGAGTAGAATGTAGCCACTATTCAGTATTTTCCCAACAGTTCTAGGTCCAGCAAGCACTGGGCAGCCTCATAAAATAGTGATTCCCCGCCTCCCAGAACGACTTAAAAGGGTAAGGCAGCAAAAACTCTATTTTAAGAAGCAGCCACAGCCTGGATGGAATGCATCCAGATGTGGGAGAGAGTCCACACTGCCTAGAGTGAGTGCTCTTGCTACACAATTATCCCTTCCCTTGCTGTTCCTCCAGCCTCCTTTCTCTGAAGCATTTTCCCTCCTAATTTTATTAAGAAGGTTCATCCTTCACACATCTTTTCTTCGTTCTGTTAAACCTTCTAACATCATTGACTTTTCATTCTCTTGGTCTTCTCTTCTTCCTTTCACAAACCGAACAACTACATAAGTACATTTTGCTGTAATTTCCTCAGCACCCCTGATAAACTTCCTTTTACCTCTGCCTGCTCTCCAGAAGGCTCTGGGACAAACACCAGGCCTTTCCACTCCATCTTTGGAACATCCATCTCCCTTAGCTTCCATGACACCACAATCCAGTGGCCTCTCTTCCTTCTTAGAAGTTCTTTCTAGTGATGTCATTGACTCCATTCCATTGTCAAATTATGAACTTGCCTAAATCCAAGGTGTGACCTTCTTCCTCTTTCTTCTTCCTCAGGAAAATGCATCTGTTCTCAAGAAGTAAGCCATGAGGTCCATGTAAACAGTTCCCACATCTGTATCTTCCACCTGGATCTCTTACCTGCCCCTGCTTCTGTTTCCTACCTTCACGTGCATTCCAGATAACCTGATCTTCAGAGGGAGACCCATGAAACGGTCATCATTTCAGGTACTTCCCCTCCCAAAACCAGTTGTTCTTCCCAACTATCTTCTTTTCAGTAATACCACCAGTCTGCAGGGCCCCCAGGTCAAACCCTTGGTCCTTTGACTCCTTTCTTCTTGTTCCCCTTTACAACTGGGCATCTTTTGGCCCATTGCCGAGTCCCTCACTCCTGAGCCAGTACAACAGCCTCTCAAGGCTCCAATGCAACTATCTGTGTAGTCCAGGACTGAGACCTACAACCAAACAACATTTCTTGAAGAATCTGCAGTCAACACACATTCCCCTACTCAAAAACTAAATACTTTTTGATTTCTTCAGCATCAAATGTAAATTTCTGATTCAATAAGCCAGCCCTCCCTCTAACTCAGATTACCTGACTCAGCACCCAGCCTCTCAACCCCCAGGATTCCTTAGGCTTCTCTGCTCTGGCTAGTCCTACTTTGTTACACACACACACACACACACACACACACACACACACACACACACACATTGTCTGTCTGTCTCTCTCTGTTCCTCCTCTGGGTGTTATTTTATGCTATCGCCCTAATTTGTAAGGTCCTTTGCCCTTCTCTTTTCTCTAATTCTATATTCCCCCCAAGACCCAGTTTCTCAAATCACCTCCTTCTCAAAGTTTTTTCTAACTCACTTCTGCCAAAAGAAAAACCATCATTCTCAGCAGATAATGACCTGACCCCCTTTGACCTGACCCCCTGCCAAAAGGCAATACACTTATTCTTTCTAAAATTCCAGAGCTATAATTTCCTGTCTTAGAGGAACTTCACACATCCTACCATGCACTGAGCAAGGAGAATTCATCAGCCTTTCAGGGAATGGTTTTTGAGATCTGGAGGAACAGAACAAAACTATCTCTAATCGCCCCAGCTGGAGCTGACATCTCCAAGCCTCCCCTGAACCACTATAACCATCTGCGTCCTTTCTTCAGCATCAAGTGCAGCCGTTCCCTGGAGTTACTTATTAGCACGCCTTGTTTGCCTTTTTCTCTCCCAACTAGTTTGTGAACTCCTGGGAGAAACAGACTGTACTTGATTCAACTTGGTAAGCACTCATTGTAAAACAAACAAACAAACAAGAAATAGGTGAACCAATAAATAAGCATTTCTTCAGGCAAAAGTCCAAATTTATAGATACTCTTACAGAGGATTCCCTTGTCTAATTTCTGTTTGGTGAGCACCTCTCACACAGATCTAGATGGTGTATCTGGAGATAAGCCAACATGGCCATGATCTCAAAGTTCATTTTATAGGCTCTCAGCCATGATAAAGTAATAAACAGCTGTAAAACTGGACAAAATATATGAAAAAACTGTTTTCATGGGATAATCAGTAGCACAGGAGAAAAGGAAAATAAAAGTGGTAGGCCCTAGCACTGTCCTGATTTTCTGCCTGGAAGCATTTAGCACACCCTGACATGGGAAAGAGGGAATGAAAGAAAAATATTATTGATGGAAACTCTGATTCCAAAAAGGAATGAGGGACTTCCAGTGCAGCATGATGGAGTAAGCCGACTAAATTCTATTTATCCTCCTATTTACAACAAAGAACTCTGGACAAAATATGAAAAACAACTATTAAGGGACTCTGAAAAATAAATAAAACCAGGAATATTGAGGAAGAGAGTCAAAATCTGGGAAAGCAATCCATATGGAGGTAAGTGTTCTGTTTTTACCTCTTTTCTGTTGCATCTGTGAACCAAATGTGGGTACCCAGCTAAGCTAGGGTAATGGTATGGGTAAAATGGCCACAGAAATCTCTTCTTTCTGGCCAGGAGAAGGAGCCTTGTGATCCAGAAAGTATGGAAGGAAATTTCTATTTCTTTGTTTTTTCTTCCTTTTTTTCTCCCGCTCATCTCATGATAGTGAGCTCTCAGCAGAGTCAGTGTGGCTGGCAATGTCAGTAGCCACAACTCTACTAGAGAACCTACTAGAAACCACATCTTTCAGGACGGGGCTTGGGAAAAGGGGGCACTTCAGGCCAGAGAATGGACAGAATCCCTGATTTGTTTCTCTTTTATCTCTCTATTTTGCCCGAGGACAGCCCCCATTGCACAAACTGTGCAGAAGCAGTACAGATAGGTAAAACTGAGCTTAAGGAGAATTCCAGAGGGGAGAGACAGAAATATGCTAATTCTGTGAAGAAATTGGCCTAGGGTCCCAGCTCATCTCTGAGCACACATGTATGGACAGACTCAAAGCAGCATAATAAAGTCTTTAAGAAAAAGAAAACTGAGATTTAAAATACACCCAGGTCTCAGACCAAACAACATGATGCTCCATCACGGATATGATGTAAAATTACTCAATATACAATAGCAAAACAAAATAAAACAAATGACCAATTGGGTTTTTTTATTTAAATTTTGTTAGTTACCATACAGTGCAATATTGGTTTCAGGAGTAGAATTCAGTGATTCATCACTTACATACAACACCCAGTGCTCATCACAAGTGCCCTCCCTAATACCCATCTAGCCCATCCCCCACCCATCTCCCTCCATCAACCCTCAGTTTGTTCTCTATAGTTAAGAGCCACTTATGGCTTGTTCACCTCTTTCCTTTTTTTCTCCCTCCCCATATGTTCATCGGTTCTGTTTCTTAAATTCTACATGTGAGTGAGATCATATGGTATTTGTCTTTCTCTGACTGACTTATTTCACTTAGCATAATACACCCTAGCTCCATTCATATTATTGCAAATGGCAAGATTTCATTCTTTTTGATGGCTGAATAACTATGGAGAAAGCCCAAATGCCCACTGACTGATGAATGGATAAAGAAGATGTGGTCCAGATATACAATGAAGCATTATTCAGCCATAATTATTATTCGGCCAATTCGTAAAGGTAAAGATAATCAACAAATGCCAATAACAAGACGACCCAGATGTTGAAGTGATCAAAGACTTTAACGAAGCTATCTGTTATAACTGTGTTCCCAGAGGGAAAAGTAAACATTCCGGAAAATTGATGAAAAGGTAGTTCTAAGTAGGGAAATAGAAATTATTTTTAAAAACAGAAAATTTGGGGCACCTGAGTGGCTCAGTCAGTTAAGCATTAGCCTTCGGCTCAGGTCATGATCCCAGTGTCCCAGGATCTAGCCCCACAGTGGGCTCACTGCTCAGCAGGGAGTCTGCTTCTCCCTCTGCCCCTCCCCCCTGCTCATGCTCTCTCTCTCAAATAAAATCTTTAAAAAATAAAAATAAAAAACGGAAAATTTTAACTGAAAAATACAACATCTAATATTAAAAATTATAGCAAAGTGGTGGAGGGTGGGAAGGATGGGGTGGCTGGGTGATAGACACCGGGGAGGGTATGTGCTATGGTGAGTGCTGTGAATTGTGCAAGACTGTTGAATCACAGATCTGTACCTCTGAAACAAATAATAGATTATATGTTAAAAAAAAGAAGAAGAAGAAGAAGAAGATAGCTGGAGGGGAAGAATGAAGGGGGGGAAATCGGAAGGGGAGATGAACCATGAGAGACGATGGACTCTGAAAAACAAACTGAGGGTTCTAGAGGGGAGGGGGGTGGGAGGATGGGTTAGCCTGGTGATGGCTATTAAAGAGGGCACATTCTGCGTGGAGCACTGGATGCTACATGCAAATAATGAATCATGGAACACTACATCAAAAACTAATGATGTAATGTATGGTGATTAACATAATAAAATAAATAAATAATAAAAATTATAGCAAAATGGAAACAGAGGAAGAGTCAGTAAACTCAAAGATAGATCTCAGAACCTGTCCAATCTGCAGAACAGAGAGAAAAAAGTTGAAAAAAGAAATTAGAGTTTTGAAGAATGTGAGACAGTAGCAAAAGATCTAAAAGTTGTGTAACTGGAGTTCCAGAGGAGGCGAGAAAGGTATTAGTGCAAAAAAAAAAAAAAAAAATGAGGAAATAATGGCTGAAAACGAACCAGATTTCATAAAAGATGTAAACTTACAGATTCAAGAATCTCAACAGACGGCAAACCATACACAGATTCATCATAATCAAATAGTCAAATTATCAAACTTCTGAAAACTAAAGACAAAGGAAAAATCTTGAAAACAGCTACGTATAGGGAAGAACAATTTAATGGCAGAATGCTTATCAGAAACTATGAAGGACAAAGGAACAACATTCTTAAAGTGTAAAAAGAAAAGAGTTGTCAACCCACAATTCAGAAATAAAGGTGAAATAAGGACAGTCTCAGACAAAGGAAAACTAACCTAATTTGTTACCAGCAGAACTGCTCTAAAAGAAATGAAAAAGGGAGTCCTTTAGGAAAATGATTAAATAGGGAAACTGGAACTTCAGAAAACAAGGAAGAGTAAGAAAAATGTTATTTATCTGGGTAAATATAAAGGACTAGTTTTCTCCTCTTAAATTATGTAAAATATGTATAACTGCTAAAAGCTATGTGTGTGTGTGTATATATATATATACACATTCTCAGAGTTTTTAATTATGTAGATATAGCACACAGGACAACTATAACAAAGGTGGAGGGTAAAGGGACCTATATGATTATAAGGCTCTATATTTTACTTGAAGTACTAAAATGTCAACTCGATGTAGACTGCTAGAGTTTATATATAAATACATATGATATGTAGGTGTGTGTATATATATATATATATAAAACTATAACATACATATATACAAAAATAGAACATATATGTGTAATGTCTAGAGCAACCACTAAAATAAAAATACAAAGATAAAGCCAAAAAACCAACAGATAAATTAAAACTGAATTCAATATTCAAATAACCTAAAAGATGTCAAAAAAGGAAAAATAGAAGAACAAAAAACAGGGAGACAAACAAACAAAAACAAAATGATAGTTCTAAATCCAACCATATCAAATATAACATTAAGTACAAGTGGCCTAAAAGACCAAATGAAAGACAAAGACTATAAGATTAAATTTTTAAAAATCACACAATATCCAACAATATGTTTTCTATAAGGAACTCACTGTAAATATAAAGATATAAATTAAAAGTAAGAAGTTGGAACAGATACCACATAAGCAATAATCAAAAGAAACCTAAGAGGCTATATTAATATCAATCAAAATAAATTTCAAAATATGAATGTCACCAGGGATAAAAAGACATATTATGCAATAATTAAGGAATCAAATCATCAAGAAATGAGTCAATCCTAAATGTGTAGGCACCTAATAAAGAACTTCTCAAACTCAAAACTCAAAAAACAAATAATCCAGTCAAGAAATGGGGAGAAGACATGAGCAGACAGTTCTCCAAAGAAGACATACAAATGGCTAACAGACACATGAAAGCCATCAGGGAAATACAAATCAAAATCACAATGAGATACCACCTTACACCAGTTAGAATGGCAAAAATTAAGAAGGCAGGAAACAAGTGTTGGCAAGGATGTGGAGAAAGGGGAACCCTCTTACACTGTTGGTAGGAATGCAAGCCGGTACAGCCACTCCGGAAAACAGTATGGAGGTTCCTTAAGATGTTAAAAACAGAGCTACCCTACGACCCAGCAATTGCACCACTAGGTATTTATCCCAAAGATACAGATGTAGTGAAAAGAAGGGGCACATGAACCCCAATGTTCATTGCAGTAGCCAAACTGTGGAAGGAGCTGAGATGCCCTTCAAAAGATAAATGGATAAAGAAGATGTGGTTCATATATACAATCGAGTATTACTCAGTCATCAGAAAGGATGAATACCCACCATTTACATCGACATGGATGGAACTGGAGGGGATTATACTAAGTGAAATAAGTCAAGGAGTGAAAGACAATTATCATATGGTTTCACTCATGTGAAACATAAGGAATAGCACGGAGGACCACGGAAGGGGGAAACTGAAGGGGAAGAAATCAGAGAGGGAGACAAACCATGAGAGACTCTGGACTCCAGGAAACAAACTGAGGGTCACAGAAGGGAGGGAGGTGGGGGGGATGGGATAACGGAGTGATAGGTATTAAGGAGTGCACGTGTGATGATGAGCACTGGGTGTTATACTCAACTAATGAATCACTGAACACTACATCAAAAACTAATGATGTATTATGTTGGCTAATTGAACATAATAAAAAATACATGAAATAAAAAATGATAGAATTAAAAGGAGAAGTAGATAAAACAAAACTTGGAGACTTTAGGAATCCTCTATTGGTAATGCAAATAGCAAACAGAAAAAAATAAGTAAGGGTACAAAAGATCTGAACAACTCTATTAACCAAATTGATCTAACTGACATCGATTGAACACTCCACCAAATAATAACAGAAAATGTTCTTTTGAAGTGTGGAACATGGAACATTCAGCAAGATACACCATATTCTGAGGCATAAAACAAACCTGAACAAATTTTAAATAACTAAAATCAAACCAAGTATGTTCTCAGACTATATCAGAATTAAACTAGAAATCAGTAAGAGAAAGATATCTGGGAAATCCCCAAATATTCAGAAATAAAAAACACATATAAAACCATGAGTGAAAAGAACACCAAATGGAAAATTTTTAAGTATTTTAATTGAATAGAAAGTAAATTTCATTACACCATAATAAAATTTATATGATGTTGCTAAACCGAGTTATTAGGGAGAGAATTTTTCCATTACATACTTATAATAGAAAAAGGATAAAGGTCTCAAATCAATGATCTAAGTTTTCACCATAAGAAACTAGAAACAGGAAGAACAATTTAAACCTAAGGCAAACAAAATGAAGAAAAGATAATAAGAGCAGAAATCAATGAAAATGAAATATATGAAGATAACAGAAGAAATCAGTATCACAAAAAAAAATGTGTTTTTTGAAAAAAGTCAATAAAATTGGAAAGCTTCTAGCCAGAATGACCACAAAGAAAAGAGAGAGATGATGTAAATTACCAATATCAAGTATGAAAGAGGGGACATCACTACTGACGTTACAGACATAAAAAATAATAGGGGGATATTATGAACAATTTAACTTGCATTAAGTCAGCAATATAGATGAAATGAACCAATTTTCTGACAGATACAAACTACTAAAGTTCATTCAAAAAGAAATAGATAATCTGAATAATCCTATAATCATTATTAAATAAATATAATTAGTAATTTAAAACTTTCCAATGACT